GCCAGTTTGATGACATGATAATCACGATAAATATCGTTGACCTCTAAGCGAGCCATATTTCGTCTTTGGCGAATGAACAAACGAGAATCCGTATTTTTCGTTGATTGTTTACTAATTGTTACTAATGATTGTGTGTCCATCTTACGATCTGATAAAAAACACGAATATTATATCACTACATACGATCTGACAATCAAATTTCCATTTGGTATCGTTATCACAAGCTGGAGGAACCGCCTCATTTGGATTTATTATTTATTAATAACAGGTTTGTTCAGTATTAGGCGATAAATTGTGGATTTAATCCTGTTTAGTGATGTACAATGCGGCGTTTAATTTTTAGTATGTGTTTATTAATAACAGGTTTGTTCAGTGTTAGGCAATAAATTGTGTATTTAATCCTGTTTAGTGATGTACAATGCGTCATGCATTTAATTTTCATATGTGTTTATAATGCCAGCCAAGTAATATAATGTTGGTGGTTTGACTTCTAATTACGAAATATTACGTAGATTCTTTAAGTTTGAAATTTTTATAATAATAATTTACTCTGTACTATGGTATCATTCTGAAATAACCCAGGGTTAACCAAATATTAATTTATACGTATAGAGTATTCCAGCAAACGAAAGCTTTTGACTAATATGTTTAGGTGAATGTAATTGATTGTCATATGCATAACCAGTCTTAGAGCAGAATTTGAAACTTAGCCTGTGTGTATATTTCAAATCAATGCTTTAACAGGTTCCGATGCTCATTCTGACCCAGTTTAGGTATGTTAACATCTCTGGTATTATGATAAAAACTTGTAATCTGATATATCAAATGGTCAGATAAAAAAGTATATATATATATATATATGCGTACATACAAGTTTATGACTTTTTTTTTTGCCGTTATAAGTAATGAAGTACTCACCGGTCATCGTGAACTTCGAGGATCACAATCTTCAAGCTATCACTATCAGCCCTATTGATGTTATATGGACCATCGCTCTCAAATACTTCCGATAATCCGTGTTGTGTATTCCACCTTACTCAGAATTCCTAATATTCACAAGATCCGAAAGATTTATCAATTCACCATGTATCTTGACTCGGTTTATCAAAATTACACTAGATTTGGGGTTGAAGAAGATGAAAGTATTATTCGTCTGCGCTAATTTTGATTTTTGGACCTTTTTTT